AAAACAATACCATCCCCAACTAAACGCCTCAAGGCAATTAAGACTGTGAACGTATTTGGTGGAAATTCGAGAAATCCTTCCGTTCGAAACAGATCATTGCTTTAGCTCGAATTCTTGGGTAGAAAAAAAATGTTTGAGGCGGTTGTTTTAAATCGTACGCACAGATGCGACTAAAGTAAAGAAAGAATGTTTTCACGTTATCACATTGCTTCCTCGAGATCCGTAAAGACCTACACCCCAAAGAAATACAAGTCGTCAGCCGCGCGTTCACGTCTGTTCATTAAACGTGCTTGATCGAGTTATAAGATAAGAAAAAGGTCTCTAGAACGGCATTCCGAACTTCTGCAAAATATGCATAATGGGCTATGTCAGTCTGAAACTTACAGCGACACATTTCATAGTCCGCAACACAATAATCTCTGGGGAGCTTTTCTTAAATAAGTTTGTAGCAGGCATACGACTTTGACTGACGGAGATATGATCAACTAGGAGACAAGCAAGAGTCTATCCACTAGTAACTCCTAATTACACTAAATTTACTCCCAGAACCGACGAAAAACTGTAGTGGCTACGCAAAATAACCAATGGATGTGAAAAGATGCTGCAGCTACTGTAGCAACGAGCAAACGCGAAGACTTTCAGAGAGGTATTTACTGTCCCAGTTGAAGAAAATGTCGTGCGGTCTTCGTGCAGATCGTACACTCTGCCTTTTCAAGAAGTAGCCAATCGAACTCAACTGACGTACTAGGACACAGCACATAAATCTCAAAAAGCCTTAAAAGTGGGTGTTAATTACTTTACACGACTCATAACAGAGCGGAGAAAACGCGTTGACGTCGGATGCCGTGCAGAGGAGCTACGAATTTCATAATTGCCATTTGCTGCACTTTATTTATAAGTGCCATTTTTTGGAATTCCTGGTCTCAGGCAACCAAAACAACATCTATACATAGTTTCACGGAGGAGAGTAAGGCCAGACGATGCGCGTTTCTCTTCTCCAACAACCAATCCAAGGATCATCACGAGTTCAAGCACTTGACGCCGTTGCACAGTATGCAGTACTTCCTCTCCCTGAACAAGGACTCTGGCAAACTCTGCGACGCATTCAAACGAGACCTCTTCCCCACCGAAGTGCCGATAACAGCCGAAGAGAGGGATTTTCCTCTCGGTTTTATCCTCACTGTGTACAAAAGCATCAATCAGGTGGCGCGTCTGCTACGTCTCATATATCGGCCACAAAACTTCTACGTCATTCACGTGGATAGAAAGTCACCACAGGAGTTCTATGACGCAGTCCAAGAAATCGCAAAATGCTTCGGTTCCAATGTTGGTGTAGTTCCTCGAACGGAAAGCGTCAGCGTTGTCTGGGGAGATTACACAGTCTTAGAGCAGGAACTCGTTGCCGCGCGAATGCTCCTGCAAATGGGGAAGTGGAAGTATTTCATAAATCTGACAGGCCAGGAATTGCCTCTGAAGACAAACTTGGAATTGGTCCTGGCACTCAGAATGCTAAATGGATCCAACATCGTTGAGGCATCATTAAAAAATCGATTCAAATTCCGAATACCGAGACATAGACCATCATTCCCAGTAAGTAGTGTGGTCTATTAAATGAGGCTATTTCATGACATCTTTAATCATACTGTGTCCTATAATACAGCCTTCATTAAATCTGATAGGCGCATTTGGCGTGCAGTGCAAGCGAAGCAGTTTGTTTCCCTCTCAGCATTTGTTGTTGCATCTTTTATGTTCATTGTAAATCACAGAATGTTCGTGCAGAGAAGGGAGAATGTTTGTGACCTTGACGCGGAGAACAAAAATAGCGGACGTTATTAAAGCCCATCACGATCGGAAGCACGCTTCAGCGGTGTCTGTCGTGTCCCCGCATGCAACTTTTCAGTAAGCGGTTGAAGCTGGGTCGCAAAGAAGATGCAAATGCCATTGCAGTGTCACAATCGTTTTGGCGATACTTTGATAGTCCTACGTTGACAGAGCAGAACGATAGCTGGTGACCCCTCCATGAGCGCATAATTAAAGACAGCTGGCGTTGAGAGGCTTCGCTTATCTGGATAAATAGCAGGGCGTATTGTAAGCTTGAGTGTCGATTGATCTCAAGAACGACCCTCTTGGTCTGAAGGCAGTTATTCTGGGTGCCAGGTGTTAGTGTGTCTGTCTGGTGGAAGTAATTCCTACAGCAATGGCCATCAAATAATCCAAGCCAGGTTGATATTGCTTTAAAGAAAAAGCTCGCTAGTTTGGTCGGAAATGCCCATTGGGAAGGCGGGGATAGAAATGATTGTCTTTTGTCTAGAAGATGTGCCCCCAAATATAGGAGACGATTTCGTAGCAAAACTAACCTATGGAAGTGTATTTGAGACTTCATGTAAAACATAAAGTCAGAGTTAATTAACTGGAGAATAAATCGATACAAGAAGAATCGCACAAGCCGCCGAAGAGTACAGTGCGTGACCGATCTCATGAAATGTTTGTCAAAATTCCGGAATGCGTTTCCGATTAGGAAGGATTACTTAAGTTTGGTTGTGATACTGATTATCATGCAGCATAACCCTATAACATTTCGGACTCGCCAGGATGTCGGCTTTTGGGTGCACTTATTTTTGACCTCCTACAGAAACCGCGCTCGGTAAAAAATGACTACTACACTAGCATGCATTTTTCCTTTTGATTTTCGATGGCCTTATAAATTCGAATATATTTTATAGAAAACATCCACAAAATATGTTTTATTTCTCTCGTTTGGTAGAACATCACATTGTCTTCATATGTTATGCCCAAAGAAAGTGCGTATTTTGGTTTTAAAATGTTTCCCAATTCCCCAATAATTTTCAGCCTGATCTGCCATTGCATCAGCGTTAAGCCTTTTCAGTCTACATGTTGCATGCTTTCCGTGTAAGAAAAATCATATATTCCTCTATGCCTTTAAAAAGACACCACATAGAGTTCATGAAATGTTGCAATGGATCCGGACTGTGTTTTACATTTCATGCGGTATATATATATATATATAATGTTCCTTTGTTTATAATTTCAGTTAATATGGCTCAAGAACACAGTCCATGTTGCGCTTTTGAGGGAATTCGTTGAATTCATGCTGAACGACAAGAGGGCACTCGAAGTCCGAGATATGCTGATTAATTACTCCTACCATCGGCATCCTGATGAACAGTTCTATGGAACGCTTGTCTACAATACACAGCTTGGTGCCCCTGGAGCTTGTCCAGGCCTATACAAAAATGGCAAAGTGAACCAAGACTTTGCACAATATGAAGGAATGCTGCGCTATAAAATATGGTCTTCTAGACCCTGCCCTACAAAGTACGTCCGCTGGATATGCATTTTGGGATCTCAGAGTCTGGCCGATCTGATTACATCCCCATATCTCTTCGCGAACAAATTTCACGAGAACTACTATCCCGAGGGTTACAGCTGTCTGGAGTTTGCAATCGCCAATCGGAGCTACCAAGGTCCTGCCTCCAATTTTGATCCATCAGTCTTTGCAAGGTTTCGCTGTTCTTCAGAACATTTGTAAATGAACTGATCGACGAGAAGTCCAGTTCCAACGCCAATCTAGTCGATGCATATGTTATGATTTGGATGAAATAACCAAATATGTCTTCTTTTTTAGTTGGTCCCCACGGAGGAACCCTTTTTATTTTAATTGGCTTCAGAACGTATAGAAATAATGAGGTCAAGGAAAACTTAATTTCAGCGCCAATCTAGCCGATGCATAAGTTAGTATTTAAATGGAAGAACAGAATGTGACTTCATTTTGATTTAATTTCAAATGAGAAAATTTTCTTCGCCTAACTGGATATGAGATTTTCAACAAGAAAACTAAAGTCAATATGCAGTTTTATAAGTTGTAATTTAAAATATTGGTAAGACTTTTGTGCAATTAATGACCGGTCAAGAGGGTAACGAGTCATAACTCCTTATCCAAGTACAGAAGTAGGCACGTGTGTAAAATCAACAGGAACTGTTTATGCATAAATTTTGCTGATTGGCATTCCGACAAATTCAAACCGCGAGGATGTTGACCGAAAGCAGTGACATTTTTTATGATAAAAAGCAGTCTTCTCACAACCGAGAACTGCAAGGACATCGACACCTTTGAATTTCGGAAGCACTTTGCCATAATTATTCTATTTCAGGAATGGGACGTAATCGTTGGAACAATAACGCTTTTTGTCTGACATCTCTTATTCACGCTCGAATCCATTATCGAGAACCGAAGGCGACGGTAGGGTAAAGGACCTCAATAACCTGTCCGTATGCCATGAAGCATGTTTGCGGGAATGATGGCAATGGGCGGGGGGCGTGTGGCAGCACACCGGACAGTAAGCGAACTGAATGTAAGAAGACGGTCGGAAGGAAAACGAACCTGCCGTGCAAATTGACTTATGTATGCAGAAAAGGTAGCCAGCTGGATATTCCAGCAAAGGTAGGATAAAGAACCCCAATAGCCTGTCGGTATACTGTGGTTCATGTCATGCGAGGACCCCCCGGCAGACACATCTGTTATCCCTCATTTCACCTCACCTCCTGCCCACTTGATTTGCTTTCTTTTTTTTTCTCTTGATTGAAACTACCAGTCACCGGTACTTAATTGGATTTCCAAGTTCACACATCAGCACACGATCCACATCTAATTGGGGTCCATCACTCTACCGTTGCCGAACCGAGAAAGATAAGAGGGTTAGAAAGGGTGCAACAGCAAACTTTTGCTGCCAAATAGGGCAAGGAAGTCTCCTATTCCATGCAGCCAAGCGTTACTCCGTTCCTTTTAGGAATGGTCAATGCAAAGTACACGATTAACCGCGTTCTAACTGATGGTCAAGCGACAGTTGCGAGTTAAGTCATATGAGACCCTGCGTTAAAAATGACAGTGGAATGCTGTGTTTGCGTTTTGAAACGGACAGCAGGTCTGCTGTAAGCCTGATCGATCTGATTCGGCAAAACACGCTCGAAATTGAAGGAGGCATCCACCTCTGTGCGCTGATCGATCCTCCAATTGCCTAACGGCTGTAGAGCAGAGGGTGGAGAGCCTGAAGATGACGCAGATTTTCGCACGACGGCGCTATGAGGTTGCAATTAATGCCAAAGGTCTCGCAGTTTCGGCAAATGCAGAAATAAACCTCAGTATCCGGTGTATGCTGTAAAAAAATAGTATTCTGGGAAATATGTGCACACTATTGTTGCATAGCGGTTTTTTCTGAGGGGTCGTCCTGGAAGGCAGTCGGTACGTGTCCTCTAACACCCTGTTAGTGCTCTATCATTGTAATTGAAATACCTACATACTCCGACGGAGTATTTGTCGTGGGGTAAGACAAAACAGGACACAAATGACTAGTCCCGTTATTAGTAAGAAACGCCGATGTGGCCGATTTAAGCAAGACTGCCTCAATCATAGCCTTTGTCCAAAGACACCGACTTGCACATAAGGACTACGGAGGTATTTTATCCCAACTTTACTATCGACTTGCGACGGTGTTTTTTTCCATTGACACGCAATTTTCGGGCCCATAAAAGAACCATCTTCCTGTTTATTGTTCTTCATTAACGAATAACCTTCATGAAATAGGGCTTGGCGTCGCGAAGCCTTGTCGTACTTTACAGTAGCTGAAAACTGGCGCAATACTGATCTTACTGCCATTGTGCACCACGAGTTGACATACTGACATCCAATTCAAAAAAGTCTCCCTGCTGACATTTTTCAATGTGGCGATACGATTGGAGAGGTCATTTTGGTCTTCGAATCCCTGCTAATGCGTCAGAAAAACGTAAATGCCGATCGGACTCAAAATAGTTTTGTGGCACATTGGGCTAGTAACAAGGGTAAGCCCAAAGTGTGAAAGGTCTAGAAGCCTGTTCTATGCCGACATCAGCAAGCCATGGCCCTCGCTGCCTGGTATGGGCTGCCGGCACCCCTCTGTCCGTCAGGCTGAGAGGCACGCGGTGGACATAATCGCTCGTTCGTGTGCGTATGCGTGTAAGTCCTCGGAATCGACGCTCAGGCCCAAGCAGTCAAAGTTGTCACAGCGGCACTTACACCCCCAGCCTGACGAAGCCACTACCAGAACACAACAAGGAGCCTTCCCCACATTTTGGCAAACATTGGTACACTCCCCTGATGACGGAACCGGTTTTCGTAACTTAGCTGATGCTCGCGGGTAAGCAGTAACTCAGCCTCCGAGGATGATTTATTTCGCATAAATCGACTTCCATAAGATTCGACCGACTGGCAAATAAACACAAAACAAATCTGTCGTCCAAGGAAATTGTCTCACTACATGGTTTTCTATGGTGCCGTCTAATCAAAAGGCTGTTACTCCGCATGAATTTCCGAACAACAGCTGGATGGACAGGAGCATAAGAACTCCCACTTTTGGCGCCTTCGTCAACTCTCCTAAGCCCAACTCTCAAACACTCATTCCAACCACAAAGCAGGCACAATACATCGTGATTTTCGGGGAGCTTTAGATCGTTCTGTTGAGCGATGGACAAAAATAAGGCCATCGGGACACACTCGCGAAAGCGCCACGACGTCAGCTTTTGGGTAATAGGGCCAATGAGCGTCCGAACTGCTTTTTATGCCACGAGACCTAGGCTGTGGAATGCGTCGTTCCCTTAAGCGCCGCACTGACATTGGACATATTCCTAAACGTGCTGACTACCGCCGAGTTTCCATAGGCCGTTTGTGTCGCCTGTCCAAGATTGTCTGCTCTAGTGGATACAAGAAGGAATATTTTGTGCATGTTTTCTATGGAATGATTTGGAATTTAAAAGGGCAGAGAGAATTGATATAGAAAACGCATATTGTTCAAGCGGTCATTTCTTGCCTAGTGTGGTAATTGTAGGTGTCTGAAAAGAAGTTCTTTCAAAAGCCAACACCCTGAAGTATCTGAAGCATCATGAGATTATGCTGTACGATGATATATAATTCAACCTCACTCAAGTGCACCCTTCCAATCGAAGACGCATTTCAGAATTTCGGTCGACACTTTATGGGATCGGTCACTGGCAATGTTTATTCAATTCTACTTCATGCAGGGCTTTTGAACCAGACGACAATTGTGCATTCATTTGACGCTTATGCTCATTCTTTGTTGCTGAGCGGGTGTCCGACGGCTCAATCTGCCAGGAGTAGGTAAACACAATGGTGAATGAAGTCGTGCTAACACGAAAATGTTACACTTATGATGGTTATATCACTAAACTCGAAATGTGGTTAGGGGTTATAAAAATAACCGGGAGCTGGGACTTCGAACCTGCATTCGTTAGATCCAGACCCTTTCTCTCCCCTCGCCTCCCCTCCCAAAACTATGATCGTGGAAACAGCGCATGACCCTTTGAAGGATGCGTTGGCGGACGAATTTGCTTGAACGCACACCATTAGGCGGTGTAAAACTGAAGGAACACCTGTCTAGGCCTTTAGCCAGCACCTCCTTGGGAGAGCGGTGCAGCCACTTATATGTGTATTGAATAAATTAATTACTAGTGATTTTTGTAATTATCAGGACTGTTTATTTATTCGCCCATTGTGAACGGTATTTAGTTCAGCCGTTTATGAGGGGATCGGGGAAGATCTGGGCAATCTGGTTTGGTTGGCATAAGTCCGAGTACCTGCATTAGAGTCTACAAAATACTGAATTAAATTCGTGGGAATTGTAACATGTAGGCAAATATAATCGGCGAAATATACGCTCTGGTCCTTACTAAGCATTTATACTGTGGAAATCAGGAATTCGTTTCTCTGTGTATTAATGATCGTCTTAATGTTAAATATACCTGACTATACGCACACCACCTGAGCGCCGACTTTCCTGAAGAACACAGTCCAAATTGCATTAAAGTAGTCTAGTTCAGCAGTAACCAATCCTAATTTTTCAACAGATTTCCGCTCATCAGCCAGGAATCGGCGGATGAGGAGTCAAAGAAGGACTTCGCATTCAGCATTTACCCGTCTCAGAACTTGAACATTTATACGCGAAATTCCTGTGTGCATTAAATTAGCACGTAGATCAGAATTGGGGAAAAATTATGTCAAACATCTGTGTAGTGTGTGTTGGGGCGTTTCTAGAGTATAATATCCTTGCCTTGATTTAAATTTCTCTTTCAATGAACGAGATATATTGTGATTGGATGCAAGTATGTCCTTGCAGATGAACATTAAGATTAACCACATATTCTTGGTTCGAAACGTCGTCGATCGAAACCTACGGCGGCAAAAACTGACGAAATTACAGAATAGGAGCGCACGGCTTATAGCGTTGTCGACCGTACGGAGAGCAAGCTGAAAAGAAAGTACTCCTGCAGACGGCTTCACCATAAGAAGCTGTTAATCCAGCTGTGTTATCACGTGGGTGTGGCAATGTTTTGTAGATTGTGCCTTTTTCTGATAGTTCTGGCATGCCGATACTGCCTTTACCACGATGGAAGCTTTGGCAACTCCGTCATCCTTACCACGAACGCTTTTCGGCCTCTAGCTTTTTCTGAGCAGCAAAAATAATTTACGACATATCTGTCCTTTCGTATTTCCTGGCGCCTTCACCTGTCCTAGCTTTGACTGAAATGCGGAAGTGAAGGTCCTGTCGGCAGCATTATTTTCAAAAGTACAAACTAGAATGCGCTTGATTAACACTTCTGCGGTTTAGACGGCAACTGAGCAATCCCTGGGGCACCACTGCCGAAAAACCATCAAAGCATTTATTCAGCAGGGTGAGCCAGCTCAGAATGGCAGCCTGGAATTTTCGTTCCCTTTTAGACAACCCCAGGAGCAACCGACCGAAACGGAGGACAGCGCTAGTGGCACGAGAACTGGCGCACTACAAGGTGGACATCGCCGCACTCAGCGAGACCCGATTCTCCGAACAAGGCCAAATGGAGGAGGTGGGTGCCGGACACACCTTCTGCTGGAGTGGTCGACCCAAGGCAGAGCGACGAGATGCGGGCTTCGCCTTCGCTATCCGGACCGACATCGTGGGACGACTGCCCTGTTTGCCGCAGGGCATCAACGATCGCCTGATGAACCTCCGTCTGCCTCGCCGTCGGGGAGGCAAATTCGCCACCATCATCTGCGTCTACGCTCCGCCGATGAGCAGCCCCGACGCCGCCGCAAGAGACAAATTCTACGAGGACCTGCACGCCCTCTTGGCGACTGTGTCGATGGCGGACAAGTTGATTGTCCTTGGTGACTTCAACGCCCGCGTCGGCACAGACAATACTGCCTGGAGAGGAGTGCTGGGTCCCAATGGTTTTCGCGGCTCAAACAACAATGGTCTGTTGCTCCTCCGCACCTGCGCAGAACACCGCCTCATCCTGACGAACACGTTCTTCTGTCTGCCGGAGCGAGAGAAGGCCATCTGGAGGCATCCTCGGTCGCGTCCGTGGCACCTGCTGGACTATGTCCTCGTCCGGAGGCGAGATAAGCGGGACGCGCTGGTGACGAAGGCGATCGCGGTTGCTGTGGGTGGACCGACCATCGCCTCGTAATCTCGACGATGCGTATTCGCCTTCAGCATCGCAGGAGACCACAAGGTAAGCGACCCCCAGGTAAGCTGAATACAGCCTTCTTGTCTTTGCACGCTCACCATCTTCATTTCAGCAATGAGCTAGCTCGCCGGATAGACAAACTTCCAATCGCTGCCGCCGCCGCCGCTGCCGAGAACGCCTCCGTGGAGAACCACTGGTGTCAACTGCGAGACACGGTCCAGTCGACGGCGCTCGCCGTCCTCGTTCGCGCTCCCCGTCAACACCAGGACTGTTTCGACGACAACGACGTCGCCATCAAAAATCTGCTACCTGAGAAGAACCGCCTACACAAAGCCTACGTAGATCACCCCACTGAGGATAACAAAGCTGCATTCTACCGCAGTCGCCACCAGCTTCAAAAACGACTGCACGAGATGAAGGACGCCTGGACTGCTCGCAAAGCCGAGGAGATCCAAGGCTACGCGGACCGGAACGAATGGAAGAAATTCTTCTCTGTGATGAAAGCTGTCTACGGTCCGCCGACGAAGGGCACTGCTCCTCTCCTCAGCGCCGACGGCAGCTCTCTCCTGACTGAGAAGACGCAAATCCTACAGCGATGGGCCGAGCATTTCCGAGGCGTCCTAAACCGCCTCTCCTTCATCTCCGACGCCGCCATCGAGCGTCTGCCGCAAGTGGAGACTAACATGGACATCGACCTCCCGCCATCTCTCCAGGAAACCATCAGGGCCGTGCCTCAGATCTCCAGCGGGAAAGCACCCGGATCGGACGCAATCCCTGCTGAGGTCTACAAGCACGGAGGTCCCCGACTGATGGATCACCTGACTGCGCTCTTCCAGGAGATGTGGCGTCAAGGGGATGTCCCACAAGATTTCAAAGACGCAACCATCGTGCATCTCTGCAAGCGAAAAGGGAATCGCCAAGTCTGCGACAACCACCGCGGCATCTCCTTGCTGAACATCGCCGGGAAGATCTTGGCCAGCATTCTTCTCAACCGCCTCAATAACCATCTGGAACAGGGCCTTCTGCCGGAAAGCCAATGCGGCTTCCGTCGTAATCGTGGGACCACGGATACGACCTTCGCCGCCCGTCAACTTCAGGAGAAGTGTCAGGAGATGCGGACCCACCTGTACTCTACCTTCCTGGACCTGACGAAAGCCTTCGACACGGTGAATCGTGAAGGACTGTGGAAGATCATGCAGAAATTCGGCTGTCCGGAGCGATTCACTCAGATGGTGCCTCAGCTGCACGACGGTATGATGGCGCGAGTCACGGAAAACGGTGCTATCTCAGAGGCGTTTGCAGTGACCAATGGAGTGAAGTAGGGATGCTTGCTAGCGCCTACCCTCTTCAGTTTTATGTTCTCTGCCATGCTGATGGACGCCTACCGCGACGAACGACCCCGGATCCGCATCGCCTACAGGACGGACGGTCATCTGCTGAATCAACGGCGCATGAACTTCCAATCGCGCGTATCCACAACCACCGTTCTCGAACTTCTCTTCGCCGACGACTGCGCCCTGAACACCACCTCGGAAGAGGAGATGCAACGCAGCATGGACCTGTACTCCGCCGCCTGCGAGAACTTCGGTCTGGTCATTAACACGCAAAAGACGGTGGTGATGCACCAACCGCCACCCAACTCAGCCACAGCCCCTAACGCGTCGCCGCAACTCCGCGTGAACGCAACCCAATTGCATGTGGTGGAGAACTTCCCGTACCTGGACAGTACCCTCTCCCGCAACACCAAGATCGATGACGAAGTCGCTAACAGGATCTCGAAATCCAGTCAAGCCTTCGGTCGCCTCCAAAGCACAGTTTGGAATCGTCACGGACTTCAACTAAGCACGAAGCTAAAGATGAACAAGGCCGTCATCCTGCCGACGCTACTGTACGTAGTGGAGTCTTGGACGGTGTACAAAAAGCAGACACGGCGACTGAACCACTTCCACCTCAGTTGTCTTCGTCGCATCCTCAGGCTGAACTGGCAGGATCGAATCCCCGACACTGATGTGCTGGAACGAACGGGAATGCTGAGCATCTACGCCATACTGAGACAAATATAGTTGCGCTGGAGCGGCCACCTGGTGCGCATGGATGACGAGCGACTACCCAAACGACTCTTCTACGGAGACGTCGCGACGGGTTCTCGCCGCCAAGGAAGCCAAATTCGCCGTTACAAGGATACCCTGAAGTCCTACCTGAAGCGTCTGCAAATCAACCGGACCAACTGGGAAGAGCTCGCCCGCGATCGTCCAACATGGAGGAGAACAGCGAAGACGGGCGCTGCTATCTATGAAGCCAATCGCATAGCCGCCACCAAAGTGAAACGCGAAGGCCGCAAATCATAACTTTGCCCAGTGCGCAACGCCGCCGCACAACCCCTTCCAATGTATCCTCAATGTCAACGGACATTCCGGGGTCTAATCGGACTTGTTGGACATCTTCGGATTAACTGCGCCTCACAAACTGCCCCAAGCATCGTCCCCCCGTCCGCACCTTCCCCGTCCACCACGTCGCCAAATAACTCTGACAATTCTTCTGAACCACCACTCCCATACTCCTCCTCCTCCTCCTCCTCCTCCTCCTCCTCCTCCAGTGCTCCAACGACGGCCGCTCAGGCGGCTGTCACGCGCAAAACGACCGACACTACCACCACCTCCCCCGACTCCAGTGATGAGGATCAGGACTACACCTTCCCTCACTGCGACAGAACATTCACCTCACACATCGGCCTGGTCGGTCACTTGCGAATCCATCGCACAGAGACCGGCGAACCAGTGACTGGAGCACCAACCTACACCCGCCGCACTCGCCTCCACTGCCCACACTGCCCTCGCACCTTCCGGCATCGCATGGGCCTATTCGGCCACATGCGCATCCGCGAGAGAGGAACTGGCCGCAACCCCGACACACCCACAATATCCAGCACATCCACCACGCCCAGTCCCACTCTCGCTCCATCGCCATACGCGCCCATCACCACCACCACAACCACCACCATCACCGCGTCCTCCGTAGCTGACACTGCCGCCGCCGGCTTCACCTGCTCACGCTGTTCACGCACATTCACCTCTCGCATCGGCCTCGTCGGTCACTTGCGGATCCATCGCACAGAGACTGGCGAACCAGTGCCTGGAGGACCAACCTATACCCGCCAAGCTCGTCTCAACTGCCACACTGCCCTCGCAATTTCATGCATCGCATGGGCCTATTCGGCCACATGCGCATCCACGACGACCTGCGGTAGACAACCGCCGGCCACACCACACATTCACTCACTCCCTACCTCCCACCACCACCACCATCACCCCACCAGACATCAACACTCCCACATCTCATGCACTCAACTGCCACCTCCCACGCAATTGGGAAGTGTGCAACTCGACTCCGTCCCCATGGGGCCTCGGCTGCAGGGGCGACTTGAGTCCGAGACTATCCCGACATGTCAAGCGTCGTGGATAGGAAGGTTGCTGATTGACGCCCGCTCTCGGTTCACGCAGTTCGTCGCCTTGTGTGTGTGTGTGCTGTGTGTAGTGGCGGACTGGTGGGCTGGGGACGGGCTGAAACAGCACCTTCCACCGCCCTCTCACGCAAGTGAGAGACACTCCGTTCAACCCTCTTTGTGTGAAATCCTGGTGTTTGTGTGTGTATGGGGGCCAGGTCGTGCTGTGGCTCACGCAGGCATGGTCAGTCAACCGTGTCAGCCACCGCGCCCATTTCCCACTCCAGTCTGCCGACCGGCTCGGACAGCGCCTGGGGTGTGGGAATGGGAAGGGAGATTGAGGTCGACGACTCAGCGTACTTTCTCCTCACTATCAACAATCTGACGCGCTTGAGGCTATCACGGTGCGCTAAAAGCCGTGGCTTGGAAGGTTGCCAACTGACAGGATAACTTGGACCTCCTCCTTGACTGGAGGCGGTCTGAGAGTCAGGCTGCAATGGCTCCTTTTTAATGTGGCCTTTATGGCACTCCTACCACGGTGTGGGATCCGAGCCAGGTGTTGGCGGCACGCCTAGGCGCGGCTTCGGTCGTGCCAGCCTCCAAATTTCTGTTTTGTTGGTTGAAATCCTGGTTATTTGTCGTGTGAACCAGGGGGTGTGGTGGAACGCCAAGGTGAGGATCCGTTCGAGCCATCCACCTGTGGCCTCCTTCGACTCCGGTCTTCTTGACTCTGTCTTGACACCGGGACCAGGCGGGGGAGGAGGAGAGAGTGTAGGTAGATGCAGCGCAAGTCTACCGGTACTATAAACCCCTGCGCAAGTCACCGTCCCTGCTCCCACCGTTGCAGCTGCAGCTGTGCTGCACACGGTGGACATCATCGAAATATATGGTGTGTTGTGTGTGCTGATGTGTAATAATGGCTTGCATTTCAGATACTCATGATTAGAGATGGGAGGGTGTGGTTTAAGCGGCGGTGATCTGCCGCAAGTTTCCATAAGTGCCTAGGAGGCCATGTTTTGGCTGAGGGTGCGGGACAATGCAGGCAGTCTTGCCGACCGCGTCTGGCGTATGCAGGTGCTCGGGGCACTGGGTTCGCCAGTCTCTGTGCTATGGATTTGCAAGTGACCGACCAGGCCGATGAATGTTCAGGGACTTTGTGTGCAGGATAGGTCGGGAGAGTCAGAAGCGGTTTCAGTGGTGACAGTGGTGGAGCTGCTTGTGGTAGGTGCGCTGTTCGGTGTGCGCAGGGCGTAGGTCGATACTGCGGTGAACTCCCCTCTCGTGAATGCACATGTGACGTAGACGGCCCAGGCGGTGAGTGAATGTGTGGGGACAGTGAAGACAGTGGAGGAATGCGGCGGGTGTAGGTTGGTGCTCCAGGCAATGTTTCGTCAGCATCTGTACGATGGGTTCACAAGTGACCGACCAGGCTGATGTATGAGGTGAAGGTGCGATCGCATACAGGACAGGTATGGAGCGAGTCCACATCGCTGGAGGTGGGGATGCTGATAACGATGGTAGTAGATGATGGGGCTTCGGATGTCATCCCATTGGTGGGGTAGTGCGAGAGGTCGTGGTGTTGGCGGAGCTGGTAGCTGTGATCGACGCAGAAGTATGAGACAGGGGGATTATGCCGGAGATCGGATTATCGACAGTCTGATCACCGGTGACGTGAGTAGTAGTCTTAGCGGGGTTTACAGCAGGGGTGATATTGGGGGTGTTCTTAGGAGGAGGGGAAGTTGACGTTGTCAGGTTGTTGGTTTATTGTTTCCGAGGGTTGGCAGCGCGGATGCGTTGGAAGCGGCTGACTGTTGGCATTGAGGAGACGAGGCACCTGTGACTTGCGAGCCTACATTTTGGCGGCGACTATCCGGTTTGCTGCGCCAGTCTTCACTTCTCATCTCCAGGCCGGTCAGTTCTGGACGAGGTTCTCCCGGGTCTCTGGATTGATATGCAATCGCTTCAGAGAATTCTTTAAAGGCCGGCACATAAAAGTGGTCTGACTGATTGCAAAACATAAAGTAGGATGTATTCTCAGTAAGTGACGGACCGATTTTGGAATTTTAGATCGAGTAAGATATGGTTCCATTAAGTTTGGTTCAAACGACCGATTGTATGCAGTTGTCCAACTGGTCGCCACCCTCTTTTTCTGAAGCAGTTGCTGAAATTCGTCTGACATAAATGACGATCCCCGATCGGTGTGTACGTGGGTAGGAGTGCCGAATATGGGGAACAGCTAGCATAAACATCTAATGAAAGTCTCGGCATTTTGATCAGGACAGGCAAATGCAGGTAGGAAACAAGAGTATTTCTCAGTGGTCATCAGCAGATGGCGATTGTGAGTTACTGACGAAAGTAGATCTTCGAAGTCGATTGACAATTGCTTGAACGGCATGGGTAGTTTAATGAATTTGTCTTGTGCTTTTAAGAAACGGGGTTTAAATTCACAGTAGGTTTTGAATTTACCAACAACATTACTTATTTCTTCATTTGAAAAGGGGAGATGCCAGCTGAGGACAAAATGCGACAGCCGAGAGACACCGGAATGACAAAGTGACTCATGTAGTTCTTTCAGATAGACCCTTGTTAGCAGGGCCCGACAGCAACTACGGGAAAACGCATCCGCCGCCCTGGTGATAAGTGCTCTTGAAGTCAAGTGTGATATACGTGCCGTAGTTTCCAATATGTTTAGTGATTTCGTCTATTCTGCTGAAGGGGTAGGTATCTGGAAGTGTGTGGCTGTTGATCATTTGGCTACATCCGCCTTTTGTGGTCTCCATTGACTACCATCAAAATTTGGGCCCGCCAAGGGGAAAACAAAAGTTTAGTTGCTCGTCCAGAAGAGAGGCGACAAATTTCTCCTCGTGTAACTCTCTCATCAAGGTTAGTGAGTCTACGAGATTCAGCAGCAACAAACTTGCTGTCCGGTGTCAGATTAGCAAACAAATGGGGAGGCCCGACGCAAGTGGCAGCCGAGGAACAAGGCCAGAACGTCGAGTTAGGTCCACCAAAAGAAATTTCAACACACTTGTGGAGCTGAAGAGGGTCATGTCTAAGTAGAACTTTGGCGCACAAATCCGGCAAGATTGATAGCTTGACCTCCTGGTAACTTGAACGATTATATCTACTCGGATAAGAACATGTCCTTGCGTGACGCTGATTAAGGCGGTGGTAGTACGAGATTTGTAAATCTTCCACTTATTTTGGTACAGAACCGAAGATGAACTACAACCCTCAAAACTACCTGTGTCAATCACGGCCTGAAGA